TTCTTTTTTTATACTACTGGCCACAGCTTTCTACTTGCTTATTCCCTCAAGCATGAGTTTGCTACAATGAGCTGCACATAGTGTCCAAAAGTTGTGTGGCTTATTGGCCTCCAACATTCGACCAGCGATGGTTTAAAATGCGGCTGCATCGCCACATATGCAGGCGCAAAAAGAGTTATGCGCTGGGCAGCGCATCGCAACAGGCCACGTATGTGCTTTGGAGAGATGCGCCACATCTCTCCGCATATGCGGCTGCATCCCGCATAATCTGCATATGCGATCAGTTATTTCTGTGAAAAAAAAACCACGTTGGGAAGGGGTATATTCGACATTTTGAGAAGGGAACGAGTTTTGGGTGGTACTATACCCCTCAAACATCTAAAAACAGCCATATCCGTGGATTTTTTTGAGTCAAATCAATCAAAAATAAAAGTGGCGGGTTTTTTTTTTTTTTGTGAAGTTATTAGATTTTCGTGTTGCTTGATGATTGGTTGTTGATTTACTTCTTTCGGGTGTTAATTTGAGGAAGCGTTTTTTTTAATAAAGGTTAACTTGTATTAAATAGGAAAAAATTACATATTTAGAGTAGAAGAAGACCACAGCCTACAAGTTAGGTGCTCAGGGAACAATCTAGAGGGAGGAAGAAGAAGATAAATAAAAAAATAGGAGGGACAAGAGGAAGACAAATTAAATATAGCAAAGGGCAAGAAAATAAAATAAAACCCTGTCGATAGGCAAGCAGACATCCTCTGTGGGGGTTTGGTCGATGAGCGAGCGGACATCCTCTGTGGACCTGTTGCACATGGAGGAAGATTAGGTAAAGTTTAGAATGATGATGCACATGGAGACTCTCAAGATAAAACTTCTTTGATTGAAATTTAGAATCTCAAGACTAGTGATGATTTGTCTTGAGCTTGACTTTTGAACTATTTAATCTTCTTAGACTTTGAGTTTGTATTTTGTAATTTTGAAGTTCGTGGTTGCAAATTTGTGATTATGGTTGTTGAATGTTTTATGAAGGTAGTTTCAAGTTTCTAATTTCTATAAGGGGATAGTTTATACAGAATATCTGACAGGCGACGATTGATACTTTTGGAGTTAATGAATAAATTAATTACCAACTATCACATAAATCGCCTCCATATTTTTTTCTATGCATTAACCTATTCTTTTAGATTTTCTAGAATTTTTTATATTTATTGACTGCATTGCGGTGATGCATCCCCATCTAGATTGCATCGAGCCACATCGCCCCGCCCTATGCATCGGGCCGCATCCCGCATTTTAAAACACTGCTACCCGCTGCCACGTTAGCTGCAACAATGTCTGTAACCACTTGAACTGCATGGCTCTCTTCCACTTCCTCGATGCATTTTTCTACCAAACCAAGAATGAAATCTGCATCTTGTATCTTGTCTGACGCATCGATAGACCCTAGAAACATTGTTCCCATTGGACACATTACCAACAAATTCATAATGCTTCTATGCCTTTTAGCGGTCCATGAATCGGTCATTATAGTGACTCCATATATACCCCATGTGTCCTTCTGACTCTTGAAATTTTCATTAGTGAGTTCCACCTCTTTTTAAAGGAAGGGCTCTCTGAGTTGATAATGTGATGAACCTTGGCCCATAGTGCCCCACTACTTCCATCATGATCTGGAAGCTGTTCAAGCCAGTGGCATTGAATGAGATGGCACCTTGATAGATCCATCTTTCAGCATATTGATCGACCTTTCTTTTTGTTCTTTTTGGTACCGGTTTTTTATAGTTGTCTGCAGCTTTTTGTGAATCACAATCTTAGGAGCAGAGGGTTAACAAAGCCCCCTTCTCGAGCTAATTAATCATCCACTCTACTTCCCCAAATATCAATTGACCTATTGATATCTTAAATTTTTTCTTTGTCGCTCGCTTCTTGGTTTTTACCCTAACCCCTTTTAGATGATCCAACATCTCCTTTCTAACATCTGGAGGGACTTGAGTATATGGGGCCACATCCCCTCTCATATCGGCTAAATGTTTCTTCAATCTATTAATGCTGACATTGTATTTCTTTTTCCAAAATTTGCACTCCACACAATTCTTATCATTGGGATTAAGGCACATGCCATATTTCCTCCCCGGATCACATTATTTATTAGAACTAGAAGAAGAGATCTTCACCTAATCAAAACCTGAAAAGTGAAAACAAATTGAAAAACTTCTTTAAAAATAGAATTGACTCAAGAAAAAATTACAAGAACAAGAAACCAAAACAAGAAAATTAAATAGAAATAAACATTGTCAATTAAGTTTAAGAGATTTTGGGGCATAAATACAAGCATTACTTTAAGGAAAACATACAATCACAAGAAACCAATCAAGAAAATTTGATAGAAATAATCAAATAAATAATGTCGATTAAGTTTCCGAAATTTTAATAATATTCATCATCATCATCATCATCATCATAGCCTTTTCCCAATTAATTGGGGTTGGCTACACGAATTCTGTTCCGCCATTATGCTCTATTAAAAGCCTTACTCTCAATGAGGCCATAAGTCCTCATGTATTTTCAGACTACTTCCAACCACGTCCTTTTGGGCCTACCTTTTGCCATTTTCAATCCTTCTACTTGAACTAACTCGCACATCCTCACAGGTGTTGTACAAAGATTTTAATAAGATTGAGATACCAAATCTTAATAAAATGCCACTAAGCACAAAGAAAAACCCACTATGGATTATGGGGCACAAATCCTAACAATAACTTAAAAAAAAAAAAAAATACAATTACAAGAGACCAAACAAGAAAATTAAGTAGAAATAAACAATTTCGATTAAGTTTCAGAGATTATAATAAGATTGAGTTACCCAATTTTAGTAAAATGCCACTAAGTACAAACCAAAAACCACTATAGATTTTGAGGCACAAATCCAAGCATTAACTTAAAAAAAAACTAAAATGAAATACAAGAACAAAAGAACATACACGAAGATCCAATAGAAATAAATCATTTCAATTCGATCAAGCTTAGTAAAATGCTATTAAACACAAACAAAAATGCATTATGGAATATGTTGCACAGATCCAAACATAAATTAAAAATAAAATTACGAGAAAGAAATTCAAACAAAAAAAGAAATACACGTTATTGGTCCTTTTTCAATCAAGAATACAAGAACACATGTACAATCCTGAACGTGAACTAATTTACAGGACAAAAAAACCAAAGAAGGGAGAAAAAAAGAAAATTACCAAATATTATAAATATAAACCATAAATCAAAAAATCAAATTATACTAACCTTTTTGATATGCACTCGATCTTGGCTCAAATCGATGCACCGCGAGAGCTGAAAGTCTTCTATCACAACCAAATCAACTCACAAAAAGTATCTGGTTTATTGCTTTTCAATTTCAAAAGAAAGTTTCAAAAAGTTTTTTTTGTTTTTTGTTTTTTTTTTTTGGGGAGTTTTTCTCTCTAACTCAAGCAAAGTAGATTTTGGGGGAAATTACGTTTTTAGCCCTCCACCGAGGGTGTTTTCCGCTAGTTGCGTGAGGCCAAAATGTGGTGCCTAGGCACTCACCTAGGTGGCGCCTTGGGCACCTAGTCACATCTGCCTTGGTACCTCGCCTTTGCCCTAATTCATTTGGATAAGCCCTTGGGCTGCCTAGGCGGCCCCACCTAGGTGGCCGGGCAGGCGAATTTCTAAACATTGGACATTACCATGAAAGTTAGGGTGATCAACCTTGAAATTGAGGTCTTGTGGACACTCCTCAAGTCATGGTGCTTGCCTCAAAATTTGCTCATTTCTTATGGCATTGGCCCCCGAAGTTGGCCGTAGTGTTCTGAGCCTCTCCATAGTGATCAACATTTTCTAATTGTTGCAATCACTTTATTTGCTTTGCTGATCTCTCCTCAACGCTTACCAATCTGGCCTACAAAATCTTCTATAGCTTGATTTATGTTCTCTTTAATTTGCTAATTCACAACTTCATGATCCAGCATAGTACATCCTCCCTCACAAGTGCAGCTTTGGCAGCATTGCGATGGATGGATCTTATGAAGTGTTGATACTAATTGATGTAGGAATGCAGGAGAGAGAAAATAAAACAAATAAATTTAAAACAAGGTGAGAGAATATGCCATTTCTTAGTTTGTTTGGGCAGTCAAACCAAAGGTTGAGGGATTTGATCCTCTCTCCCTCTCTGGAAGGGTGTTCACAAAAACAAAAAAAGCAAAAAAAACAAAAAAGAGAGAAAAAAAATCTTTTCACAAGGCTGAAAAATCAACTCTCTCTCTCTCTCTCTTCCTTGTCCAGCTTTTACTTATTTATAGAAGGAATCTTAAAACCCTTATTTGCTCCATAAGAAACCCTAATCATTACTAAATCTTAGCCCTTCATCTTCTCAAAATTAGAGTTCCAACTTTACTCCTTAATTTTCTTCATCAATAAGGACATACAAATCATAAGGAAAAAAAAAAAACACCCGACCAAATTATTGCAATTAGTCTCCTGAAAAATAAAAAAATAAAAAATAGAAAATCCTTACTACGTGAAAAAATTGGCGGTATTTTAATCAATGTCAACTTTTAAGTAGTTTTACTTTAGTGAAAGTTTTAGAAGTTCAAGAAGAAATGTTTCAGTGTCAGATATGTATATCGCGTCCTTAGTGTGTGATTACATGCCAAAAACCATGGTCACTTAAGTTACATAGTCTCTTACCTATCATTAAAAAAAAAAAATTATGTTTTGTAGTCCTGAAAAATTTATTCCTGATGAAGTTTATCGTCAGTTGACTTGAAAGATGTGGATAATGTGTCAAAGCTCTTTAGCGATATACTTTTTCATCTCACTATCCTGTTTGTTATGCTATTGTAGTTTATGTTGTTTTCTTTGAGAAAAGTTAGAGTTTCTGTTGTTTCTGGCAGTTATGTTTTCAAATTATAGATGTATCTAATCTATACCACATGTATATTCTCTAAATGCTGGCAATTGTTTTGTATTTTGTTCAGTATCGCATGGCAGGGTTAGCTGCTATTGATATTGCTCAAAAGGTTTCGAAGGCATGGCAATCCCTTCGAGCCGAGTGGAAATCATTGAGGAGATCTGGAGCAAAAGGTAATAGGAAAAACCGAAAGAGTGAAATGGGATCTGTTGCAAGTCAAAATCGGGGTGGTGCAGGCTGTAGCAGCCAGAGCAGCGGAAGTTCAAGTTCTTATAACCCTGATGACGATAGATCTCTAAGACTCCGTTTTGTGATCTCTTGGCATGATGTTTATTCATTTGCTGTTAAATGGAGACAAATTTCTGAGCCTTGTGATTCTGTAGTCTGGGTCAATAGGTTAAGGTAAGTTTCCTGAAGTGTGCAACTAATAAATTCATAAAACTTGTGTCATATTTCTTTGTTGCCTGAATGTTCCAGGGAATCATAGCATCATTATCAGATGCCTAAACCTAATTACATGGCTTGATCTGTTTGTATATTTCTTCCCCTTCCATTGAAAGAATTGGTTCTGTTGAATGACTCAATTTGTGATGCCTGGCATCTGTATGTACAGTGGGTAACTCTGTTCCACACTGTAATCTTTACTCAAACACTTGACTTTGATTAGACATGTTTGATGCCATTGATGCATAAATTCATATCCATTGAATATTGTTAGCATCGTGCCTTTGTATGTCCTTATCATTGACCTCAAACTATGTTGGCCATGTTATTAGACACTGAGATTTACAATTCTAATCTGAAATGTAAATAGCTCCTGTGCTTCCACTTCATAAGATGTTCTCTACAATTACTGTGACAAATGATTTCATAATGGAAAATTGTTTCATGCGGGCTGGACCGTAATTCTACAATATGCGGTCTAGAGTTATAAAGCATCCATCTTAAAGATGGATGCAAATAGGTGGCCCATCTGAAAACAAGTGTAACTAACGGTTGAAATGTTTTCTTTATATAATTATTATTTCTAGTTTCCAAGTTTTGTTTTCTTCATATTCATGATCTCCATGTCAAAGATCATATATTCTCTAAAAATTAGGATCAAATTATATTTAAAAAATATATTTATTGCCAAGCCCACATTTCTACAATATGCGGGCTTGCCGCATAGAAACGGTGCCCTTTCATATTGGTATATTACAAAACCATATCTAAGCAAAGCATAATCTCATGTCATCATGCTTACATCATAGAGCTTATGATTCATTTTAGTCAAATCTTCTACTATTACCTTGAATTTTTGGATTGAGAGGGCAAGTTTGCTTGAGACCACCTTTTCTCAAGTTTGTAGGGCCATAGTTATTGGGATCAGGAGCGAATTGGGGGGGAGATAGGGATTGGGAGCAGGGTTGTGAAAGGCTAGAAGTTCCCTATTGTTGGAGCATTGTCCGTACAATGCATACATTAGTGATCAAGATCCATAAATATTAGGGATCTCGATCCCAACCTTTTGGGATCTCAATTCTAACTTTTGGGTCTCGATCCCAACCTTTTGGGGATCTTGCTCCTAGCCTTAAAGAGTATATATAGTCTAGGACTATACATACTTTTTAGAGTAGGGATCTCTCTGTTTATTGCCAGCAAAAAATGTAACTTGATTAAAAGTTTAGTTGCATTACTAGTTCGCTTGAAAAATCATCATTTTGGTCATTATCTTAGTCTTTAAGGTGCGGATCATGATCCCTAATAGTGGGGATCGGAATCCCTAATAGAGGGATTGAGATCCCGAATTTTAAAAATCGAGATCCTTTGAAAATTCTCCCGAAACGTGGGAGCAAGATTCTGGAGCGGGATCGCCACTTAGGTTGGGAGATCCCATCAATGATGGTTAGGGCTTCTCTCGTATCCAATTTATCTATGAAATGTTCCTCTATCAAGTCAAGGGACAGTTTCCCATTTTACTTGTCATTTATATGTTGGTTATATGCATTATTGGTATATGTTGATTTCCTATTCTCCATCTTCAATTCTGTGATGAACTTTAACACTTCACAGATAGGAGGATCCACACATTTCTTCTTAGAACTTGGCATGATCTACTCCAGGAAAAAAACCAACCTGATCTTGTATGGCTTGTTGCCTAAATATTAAAATATTATTAAAGTGGCGTTAAGACAGTAGAGCTGAATCTTAGTTTCTGGATGCGTGTAACTGGGTAGCATATTTGTTCCCAACATTCATTAGATTTGTTGTGCGTGGTCATGATATTATGTTACATGTACTGTTGATCATTGGATATTTAATATGTTGTTCACAATTTCTCTCTCTTTTTCTTGAGGATATTTTTCATGCTTATCTTTTTTGCAATTCAGTGAGCACAAGAACTCAGCATTTGGTTCTCGTACATCATTGATTCTTGGACAAGGAAAAGTTGTTAGATATTTCCCCTATTATCAAAGGTGAGTGTCTGTGGTCATTGCTGTCATGCAGCTTATACTGGAACATTTCGCTGATCCTCTTATTTGCATTAGAACCCTGGATGCTTTGAAGAACATAATGAAAGAGAGAGCCTTTGTGAATAACAAGGCAAATGAAGTTGTTGATTTGACTGAAGTCAAGATGTTACAAGCTGTAAGTCTCGTGGACCTTGTACTTCAGTTTTCGGCTTAGTATGTTTCAAATTGAATCATGGCATTTTTCCCTCAGTATAAGTCATGGTTATGTTTGGTGTAAAATATGCCCCAAGTGTTACTTCTTTTGTTTGCAAGGAGGGTACATTATTTATCATAGGCATTGCTTCTGGTCTCATAATCTCATAATAGACAAATTGTCCGTTTGCAGTGATGCTATATCTCTGGCCCTGGTCTATGAGCAGATTTAAACTGATCTAATTCTTAAGTCCTAATTTTTACTTCTTTTTGAAATGAATGTTTCTTTTCCCATTGGAAACTACATTCTGATGGCAATTTTACTTGAATGACATATTCCAGAGAAGGCTCTTGGTGATGGTGAGGACTTAGTAGAGCCTTCTCGCCTGATAGTTGTGTTCATTGATGAATTCAATATATACAGCATGGATCATAATCCTTAATAAGCTGTAAATGTTGCCCATTGATTGTCATCCAATTGACAGTTGTGGAAATGAACTGGTGAAGTATTCTATATTCTGTGTTATACTAACAAGGAATAACCTTATTGATCTTCTTCTTGGTAACACCTGGCATTGTTCTTTTACTTGGTAAGTGACAAAACAAGCTATAAAAACCTTTAAAGATACCATTTGACATTGATAAGCTATAGAAATGGTCAAATATTATTTTTATTTTTTTGTGGCCCAGGGTGGTGGGAATTTCTTTATGGTGGGCGGGGGCGGGGTGGTGGGATTTTCCTTAATAACAAATATTTAAGGAGGGGGTGTACCAGCTCCATGTATGAGATGTGGGCCCCATGGGCTCCATGTTCCACACATGTGGGTGTGGCACACATGGGGTTGGATCCTAGGACCCTACATGCATACTGGCCCCTTTACTATTTTTAAACATGACCTTTTAAGGCTTTTTTACAGTTGAAAATAATTTTAAAAATTCTGAGAAATTTCTAAGAAATTCACAAACTTATTTCTTGAGTTAAAACCAAAATATCTAGAAGTGGATTAGTACTAATGGGTTAAGAAAAGTATATGTTAGGGCACTCCACCCGACGCAATAACTGGAATATCTAGAAGTAGATTGGTACTAATGGGTCACGCAAAGTGACTGTCAGGGCTCTCCGCCCGACCCAATAGTCGTGATCCTCAACTATCTTCTCAAACTAACCCAACAAGACTAATGACCCATAGTCTCAAACACAGGCTCATGATTGGCTTGTCAAAGCTAACCAATAAAATATGGAACCACAATCCTGCAATGTGGATTACGGTTTTCCCCCATTAAGAGCAAGTCACATGCACATATCATTATAATGCAAGGGAGACTTTATGCACATGTACATGCATCCCTTTGTATGCTTGCTTCCTAGTATGTGGCTATCATGTGCACATGCTGTACGGAAGTTTATTGAGGAATTTGCTCTCATTTTCACAAACCTACGTCCATAGACACCGGACTACGAAGCTCGCAATGCCTACAAACCGTCCATGGGCATCTCTCCGATCTCAACAAGGGGTGAATCTCCCTCCCATAGTTGTTGGGAGCGGGAGCAGGTGCAGGTGCGGGAGCTCGGGATCAGCACTTGGCTATAGCTCCCTACCTTCGGAGCGCTTGGGAGCGTTGCTCAGGGAGCGACCTGGAGCGATCTTGTATATATGAACTACATCTATATGGGAGTGCAGGGGAAGCGCCCCATATGTGTGTGTGTGTGTGTGTGTATCTATATATGTATATATATATATACCTCAACCTTATTCAACACATCCTTTAAAAATAAAAGTATGAACACAAGATAAACCTAAGCGAGGCACGAAGTCCAAAGAATACATTTTCTATTACTAATAACATGATTTATTCGAAATTAAAGAGTGATTTGTGTTAAAATATATAATATAGTAAAAAATTAACAATTAAAAAAAAAAATCAAGGAATAGATTCAAGAAAGACTTGATACAAAATAAATTTTTAAAGAATTGAAAGACATAAAGGTAGGTATGAAATCCAATAAAAGATTTTGTAATAGCATCCAAAATTTTGGCATGAAAATTAAGAGAATAAAATAAAATAAATGAAAAAGGTCCTTACTTTCAGATACATTTAAATAATATAAAAATTCTTCAATCAGAGAAAATATGAATAGATAGATAAGATATCTTGTTTGGTTTAAATGCTAGAAATGATACAAAATAAATTTTTAAGAATTGAAAGACATAAAGCTAAGTACGAAATCCAGTAAAAAATTTTGTACTATCATTTAAAGTTTTGACATGAAAATTAAGAGAATAAAACTAGCTTTCAAACACATTTAAACAGTATAAAAAATTCGTCAATTGTAAAAAATATGAATAGATAGATAAATCTTGTTAAAAAAAATAGAATCTATGAAATCTTAATAATTTAAATATCAAGAAATTGATTTAAGGAGGAATTAAAATGTCCATTAAATGCTTGACATGATATTTAATTAATTATTTAGGAAATGAAAGACATAAAGGTAAGCATGAAATCAAAGACATAATGGTAAGCACGAAATCCATTAAAAGACTTTGTATGATCTTAAATACCAAAAAAAATATTTAAGGAAGAATTGAAGTGAGATGCATTAAATGCTTGACATGATATTTAATTAACTTTTTAGGAAATGAAAGACATAAAGGTAAGCACGAATTCCAATAAAAGATTTTGTACTATCATCCAAAATTTTGGCATGAAAACTAAGAGAATAAAAAATGAAATGAAAAATATCACTATAAAACATTGAATAATATTAAAAAAATCGTCAACTGTGGAAAATAAAAATAGATAGATAGTACATTTGCTTAAAAAAATATTTCTATGAAATCTTAATAATTAAAAAAAATCAAGAAATAGATTTAAGAATGCTTTGAAGTGAGATGCATTAAATGTTTGAAAAGGTATTAAATTAATTTTTCAGAGATGAAAGACATAAATGTAATTACGGAATCCATAAAAACTTTTGTGCTATAAATCAAAATTTAATCATGATAATTATGAGAATAAATAAATAAATAAAAATGTCATTACTTTCAAACACTTTTAAATAATATAAAATAAAAGAAACCATCAATTGTGTAGGAACCATAAAAAAATATATGACATTTTGTTTAGAAAAATTAATTCATAAAATCTTAATAATTAAAAAGCCGTATGCTTAGTATTTTTTATATTAAGGTACATTGGTTTAGTGGAATTAAATTAATGTTGATGTTATTACTATAAAATTTCTCATGGACTATGCTACATATTTGAAATGAGTTCATGGATTGTATACTTACTAGCATGTACTTAGTATTTTATGTAATAAAGGACATTGATATAGTTGATTTTAATTAATGTTGATAGATAGTATTCGTAGAAGATTTCTCATGGGCAATGCTACATAATTGAAATGAGCATTTGGACTATAAACTCATCAACATTAGTATTACTAAAAGATTTGTCTTGGACTATGAACTCGTTACCATCATGGGTAACAAGCACAAGCACACAAGCCCTTAAAATTGACCCAACATATTCAGAATGCAGCCCATCTTTTGAGGAGTCTTGATCCCCCATCGATAGGGATCAAGATCCTTTGAAGTCAAGGACCGATATCCCTCTAGATCAGGAATTGAGACCCTTTAGATTAGGAACCGAGATCCCAATAGGTAGGGATCGAGATCCCCTTATGCGAGGAAGCAAGTACTGCTTGGGCTCTGGCTTTCGGATCACCAGATCGAGATTCTAAGAGGGAACACTACTGCTTCACCAAGATCCCTGCAACAGTGCTCCCTCCGCGGTAGTGCCTTATCCCCAAGAGAAAGGGTTTTGGACATGACTAGAGTCGTAGATCGCATAACACTAAGTCAGCAGCCAACTCACACTCCCATTGAAATGTACAATCAATATAATTCTTTTACATGCTCTCATGGGCTTTGAAGGCCACAAGCCCCAACATCATGATGTTGTTGTTTGTGTGTTTCTTCTTTAAAGATCGAGATCAACAAATGGATTCATTAACTACTTTCGAGGTTTTATGGGCAACCCTGCATGATTCACTGAAGTTTCCTCTAAAATCCTAAGTTTTTCATGCAGATAGGTATTACCGTAGTTTACTCAAAGGGTGTCAAAGTGATAATGCTCAGATTTATATTATGTGGTGTTGCCCTAGTTTGTTCAGGTGTGTGATAGCGACTATTCTCAGATTAGTATGATAAGTATTTCTCTCTTTTGAATATATATATATATATATATATATATATATATATATATATATATATTATNTATCTCGTTACGTAGTGTAGTGTGTAGTACTATAGTAGTCGTCGTGTCTCTACTTATTCTTTCTTCTACTTACTCTAGT